GGGCGTAATCACCTGGTGTCAAAGGTGAGACCAGCATGTGGTCTTTTGTTTACTACTTAGCGGCTGTGTACCTGTGGGTTTATTCTGTGTGTATTTGGATGTTCTAATCTTGGTGTTTTTCCAATGATTTCTCTGGGTGCAATCTAAATACAGTAGGTGTGTCTTGTTTACCTGAGATTTGTAAGAGTTTGAGCTGGCCAACATGTTAGTTTTTTTTATATGGTTGATTACTGGCATGTTGATTTTCCATTTTGAGCCATGTTTTCAACTATCTTCATCATTTTCATATAGCAATCTCGTCATATGTTAACATTATATAAGGCCAAAAAATTGTTTTGTTGCCCTCAGCGACTAGCCAGAAAATATGAAATATCGGGTTGCGTGCAATTTTTTTTTTTTTAATAGCCCCAAATATTAAAAACTCACCATTTTAAGCAGTAAAAAAGTGTTTCCTTTAAAAAATTAAGGATCCCGGACCGTTGTTTGAACCTCAGAGTCCCCGTAAGTGGCGACTTTGAACCTCTGGTTGATCTGTATTTTTTTGACATGTTCCGAATACTATGAAGTACATATACCTTGGCTATTTACGATACTCGTAAGTTTTCACGAATTTAAAAAAAAAAAAAAAAAAAAAATCCGACCCAATTTTTTGGCCTAACATTAGGAAAGTTACATGTTCATTCAGCAAACTGACACAACTTATACTGTAATATACATGTATGTGTATATTAAAACAATTTAGGTTTTTGTGATGCTTAAAGGAAGTGGTCGTCGCACCATGCATGGACAAGATTTGTGTTGATAAACATTGATCTACCCACAATGCACTCTCCCAATGGCAAGCATGAAGTGAAAACACAGTATTTAAACTTATATAAACAAATTTATCAAGTGCAATCCTATTATGTAGTTTTTAACAACAATGTATATACAACCATATGTTAATCTGTGATGGATCAATAACTAGGTTGCCTTCATTGTCATTGAGAATGAAACTGCCAAAGGCACACCAAGGCCAAATATAAAATATTCCTACGAGACAGTGTTTACCAAATCACTCTGTCCCGGTGAATTTGAATAATTCAATATGTTTGTAATTCAAATTGTCTGAACATTTCCAGTGCTACTCAAAAACACAGGAAAAACACTCAAGAGCAGGCATACATGTTTCCATGAATATTTTTCATATTTTCAAATTACTAATAATCTTTGTGATCAAAATATTGAAATGTAAATAATTTAGTGTCGTTGAAAAATACTTAACACCTTGAAACTCTCAAAACTGGGTGTAAAATGCCACCTCTGGCATGAGAGCAAGAACGGAAAACTCAGTCGATGCTTGGGGAAGTTTTAACACAAGTTAGTATGAAATAAAGACTAAAGTACAAAATATATAAATACATCTGTGTTTCAGTCAACGAAGAAATGGTCCAGAATGTATACACATAGTACCTAACCATGGTACAGCATAAACATATAGATTTTGAAAATCAGTCCTGAACACATATCAGCTTGCCCTGGGAAAGTGAGAAATATAAATAATGTTGCTCAGCCAAATAAATGCTAGATTTAGCATAGCAATATCATATTCAAGTATTTCTGAAATGAAATGTATTACGTTTTTCACAATCTGATATATAGCATATTATCTACACTATGGAAAACATGGTAAAAGTGATTCAATATATACAATATGGCAGCCATTCACAAAAATATGACCATCATTTTCTTGAAAAATCTATTTCAAACTCCTCAAATACAGTTAAGTTTAGTATAAAATGTACAGTTTATTGCAGAAATGAATATGGAATCTGGGTATTTTCATTATGAGTAAACTCCAGGCTGAATCAATAAAAGTAGGTAAGAGACTGTTGCAGTACATTACATTTGTACATGTAAAAAATTTAATGATATTTTTAATATTTTATTGGTCCCTGAATAGAAAAATATATAGTATTTTGAGAAAAACTATAGCACTGGTACTTTTATTAGCTTCAACAACACAAGTGATTGATGTCAGTGATTTTTTTATATCTATTCAGTCTATAGAAATATCACAGCATGGTGAAAGCAAAGACTCAATGCCATTGTCTGTGTTTATACATGTACTATGAAATATTGATACCAGTGAAAATACCACACCATAAGTTTGTCTTGTATGATTAGTTCAATAGGAGATTCAATTACAACCGTATCAATCAAAGTTATTCTTCCAATTTGCATCCAGATGTTGAATTTTTTTTTTTCATATTTGTTCTCAATCATAGGATTCATCCTAATTCATACACAAGACAAACAATCGAAAAATTACATCATTCTACAAATAACCAAGCTCAGAGTAATTTGGGACACAAGGCAAAACAAGTATTTGCAATGCACAGTCCCCATTGCATACTAAATCTTAAAGCCAATAAGCATACAGAACTTTGTTGTGGGTTATAAGCATAGTTTTGGTGTGTGACATAGAACATAACAACATAGTGAAAACCTGCATCTCATGGTATTTACATTATGGAGATACACAAGTTATGAATGAGATATTTGAACAAGCAGCCTGTCGGCTGAGATCAAAGCAATTGGACTTGCGGTTTTCAACAAGAAGTCGAAAATATCACTTTTTACCAAAAATTACAAAAATATTCACCAAAATTAGAGAATTAAAGATATCATTACAAAATGAACAAATCTGAGAGAGGTCCACATGTAGTACCTATATATGTAATATCAAAGCAATTGGACTTGCGGTTTTCAACAAGAGGTCGAAAATATCACTTTTTACC